GCGCCCAGGATCCGAACCCGGGCCGCCAGTAGCAGAGTGCATGCACTTAACCGCTAAGCCACTGGGCCGGCCCATGGGCCTTCAATTCTGTTCTATTGATCTGTGTGTTTGTTTTTGTACCAGTACCATGTTGTTTTGATTACTATTGTTTTGTATTATATTTTGAAGTCAGGGATTATGATGCCTCCAGCTTTGTTCTTTTTTCTCAGGATTGCTTTGGCTATTCAGAGTCTTTTCTTGTTCCATATAAGTTTTAGGAGTCTTTGTTCTATTGGGATTATGATGGGGAATGCAGTGAATATGTAGATTGCTTTAGGTGATATGCACATTTTAACTATGTTTATTCTTCTAATCCATGAGCATGGAATATCTTTCCATTTGTTTATGTCACGATCAAATTCTTTCAATAATGTCTTATAGTTTTCATTGTATAGGTCTTTCACCTCCTAGATATTTTATTCCTAGATATTTTATTCTTTTTGTTGTGATTGTAAATGGGATTGTATTCTTGAGTTCTCTTTCTCTTAGTTCCTTATTAGAGTATAGAAATGCAACTGATTTTTGTAAGTTGATTTTGTACCTTGCACCTTTGCTGTAGTTCTTGATGATTTCTAATAGGTTTCTGGTGGATTCTTTAGGGTTTTCCGTGTATAGAATTATGTCGTCCGCAAACAGCAAGAGTTTCACTTCTTCCTTTCCAATTTGGATACCTTTTATTCCTTTTTCTTGCCTAATTGCTCTGGCCAAAACCTCCATTACTATGTTAAATAAGAGTGGCGAGAGGGGCCAGCCCCATGGCTTAGCGGTTAAGTGCACGCGCTCCGCTACTGGCGGCCCGGGTTTGGATCCCGGGTGTGCACCAACGCACCGCTTGTCCAGCCATGCTGAGGCGGCGTCCCACATACAGCAACTAGGAGGATGTGCAACTATGACATACAACTATCTACTGTGGCTTTGGGGAGAAAAAGGGGAAAAAAGGAGGAGGATGGGCATTAGATGTTAGCTCAGGGCCGGTCTTCCTCAGCAAAAAGAGGAGGATTGGCATGGATGTTAGCTCGGGGCTGATCTTCCTCACAAAAAAAAAAAAAAGTGTGGTGAGAGTGGGCACCCTTGTCTTGTTCCTGTTCTCAGAGGGATGGCTTTCAGTTTTTCCCCATTAAGTATGATGTTGGCTGTGGGTTTTTTATATATGACCTTTATTATGTTGAGGTATTTTCCTTCTATACCCATTTTATTGAGAGTTTTTGTAATATACTATGGAGTACTACTCAGCTATAAAACAAAAGATAAAATCATCCCATTAGCAACAACATGGATGGACCTTGGGGGTACTATGTTAAGTGAAATAAGCCAGACAGAGAAAGACAAACACCATATGATTTATTTGTATGTGAAAGATAAACAAACACATGGATAAAGAGAACAGATTAATGGTTACCAGAGAGGAAGGGGGTGCAGGGTAGGCAAAAAGAGTAAAGGGCCACAGTTATATGGTGATGGATAAAAATTAGACTATTGGTGGTGGGCATGATGCAGTAACTGATACATAATAATGTACACCTGAAATTACACAATGTTATAAACCAATATGACCTCAATAAAATCACTGGAAAAAAAAAGAACACTCTTTAGTCAACACTACCCCCTCCACCCCATTACCACTTCTGCACCCATAGATAACCATTTTTACTAGTTTCTTGTTTCTTTTCAGTTTCTTTATGAAAATAATATTCATATTTATTTTCATGAAATATTCATATTTGTTTATGAAAATAAATATGAATATGAACATAGTATACTACTTTTTATGTAAAATTAAAGGGGAAGAATAATATTTAGTAATAATTTGTAGTAATAATATCTATTCCACCCCTCTATTTTTATATAAAAAGTCATATACTATCTGCTGTCCTCACAATGTATCCTGCACGTAGACATCATCCTTGTTCTGGTATTACACTGTGGGTATGTGCACATTGGGTGGGTATCCCATACTGCCGGGCGTTTGGATTGTTTCTGGCCTTTGCTGTTACAAACAATGCCACAGTGAATAACTTTGTGTATTTGTCTTTTCATACTTTGTACTGGGGTATCTCTGAGATACAGTCCCAGCAGTAGAAGTGCTGGCTTAAAGGGTAAATGCACCTGTAATTGTGATCAGTTTTGTCTGATTCCCTCATAGGGGCTGTCCTGTTTTGCCCTCCCAGTATCAGTGGATAGTGGGAAGAGTAGATGAGTTTCTACTTCCTATAGTCTTACCAACAGTATTTCTCAAACTTTTAGACTTTACCAATCTTATGAATGAGAAATGGCCTCTCACTGTAGTGAGCCTGAGTACCTTTCCAAATGTTCAAGGGATATTTGTGTTTCTTTTTCTGTAAACTGTCTATTCATGTCTTTTGCCTCTTTTTCTTTTGGGTCTTGATAGTTTTCTTCATGATTTTTAGGACCTCTGTTTAAGTTAGGGAGCTTAGTCTGTGATAAGACTTGAAAATATTTTCTGCAGTTTATTTGTTGTTTTTACTTTGCTTATGGTGAATTTGGTGGTGGTGGTTAACTTGTTCTGTTTTACCATACAGAAACTTTTTACTTTTATAAAGAAACATGCATCGGTCTTTCATTTTATGGCTAGTGGATTTGAATTATAGTTAGAAAGCCCCTCCCCAGGCTAAGGTCATAAAGACGCGTGGTAGCAGAATGGCTAGTGCTCCCCTTCAATATCTCTTTAGTCTCAAAGATGTTAAAAGCAATACATCCCTATATTAAACATAATTCAGATTATCCAGGAGCCGTTCCCTCTTCCAAGCTCCAGGACCTACAAGTGCACTAAATACACTTGGGTTCCCTCTCAGGGAGGGCAGCTGTTCTTGTTTGTCTTTGTATCTTTCAAATCTAATACAATGCCTGGCATACAGAACATGTTTAATAAATTTCTGTTAAGCAGAAGTAGATGTGAAGTCTGATGATCTGATTCCTGTTTGGTCACTATCCCCTCCTCCCTATGGGATCTTCAGCAGCTAATGTAACTTCTCAGAGCCTCACTTTTCTCACCTATACAGTGAGGATAATAAGATCTAATGAGACCAGTGTTGCAGTGCACATTAGAAGAATAATGTACCTGAAAACAATTCATTAACAAGGATGTGCTCTCCTAATGTAACTGTATTATTATCGTGTATTGTGCTATCACCGAGGCAACTGCATTAACTTTACTATGCTGCTCACAGCACAGGCAGGTATTGATCAAAAGCTTTGCAGAAAAAAGCTTATTTTTCCAATCTTTTTTGAGAAAGTGTAAAGTGATATAAATATTTTGATATATGGTGATTCTAATGTCTGTGTATCATTTCCATTTACAGCTAATAAGAGACATGGTTAATGTCTGTGAAACGAATCTGTCCAAACCTAATCCACCATCTCTTGCCAAATACCGAGCTTTGAGGTGCAAAATTGAGCATGTTGACCAGAACACTGAAGAATTTTTCAGGGTTAGAAAAGAGATATTAGAGAATAATTGCAGGTAAGCATAAAGGAAATATGTTAGGGTCTGTTATTATGTACTGCTATTTCAGATTTTGATAAAGAGCTGATCTCCACAATTACCTGGATAATTTAATCCTCAATAACAAGATAACTATGTTGTGATGACCAGTTCCTTTCTTCTGGTTTTATAATAAGGTGTGGGGTAGTGCTCTATGCTTGAAAACACTCCCTACTATTCCACTCTAATTGCGAGGTTACCTAATCTTGCTGAGAATTAAATTTTAAAATTTTAAATCAAAGAGTATTTGAGTTTATGTTTTGAAGTGTATTACATAGGAAAATCCACTTAAATTAAGATTTTAAAATGCAGGAATATGTGTGTGGCAGCTTCTAAAATGGCCACTCTGTGGCCTGAAGCACTCAGATGAAAACCTGGACAACATGTCGAGAGATATAGCACCCCAAAATGGCAATTACGTGTCTCCTCATTTACTGCGCATATTCCTGTTTCTGAGGCAGCAGCAGTAACAACAAACAGATGGATCAGCTGCTCACACAAGCCCTTATTGGGTGTTAGTAACTGTGTAGAATCACCTTGGCTAAGAGTCTAACCCACCTTCAAGGTTCAGAAACTAATTTTACTGATTATTCTCAAGGGTGGGGCTGACTTTCATTGGTTTGGTCATTCACTCCATTGCAGCACTTCTCTGCCTGAAGTCTTTCTCTAATCTCATTATAACAGGCCGTGTTAACCTTCATCAGCCTCGCACACTCCTTAGAGCCAATGGTAGTGAATTGCAGCCATTTGTCCGAGCTTGCAGGGGCCAATTCGTAAATTTATAGTAATTTTGTTAACTGACTGTTAAACCGTTAGTAACTTGAAATCGGCTATGGTGGGTGGATTTACACCATGGAAATCAGCAAATGCTACAAATCACGGTTGTGTGTGGGTTTTGTTGTTGTTTTGAGAGTTAGTTTCTAGCACCCTACTAGAACTAGACCTAGCCACACCTCCCTTCTAGACTAACTCAGACCAATATACACTTAGTTTCTGCCTGCCTTCATCAGTCATCGTCAAATTCCGTTCCCAATACCACTTCACACTCACTAAGAAGGTTATATTTGGGAAAAAAAAGGAAAATTATATGTGTTGATGATGATGTGGAGAAATTGGAACCCTCATACATTGCTTGTGGAAATGTAAAATAGTGCAGCTGCTATTTGGGGATTCCTCAACAAATTAAACACAGAATTATTGTATGCCCCAGCAATTCCACTCCTAGTTATAAACCCAAAAGAACTGAAAACAAGTACTCAAACAGATACTTGTACATGAACGTTCATAGCAGCGCTATTCACAATAGCCAAAGGGTGCCGACAACCCAGATGTCCATCAATGGATGAATGGATTAACAAAAACATGGTATATACATATAGTGGAATATTGTTGAACCATAAAAAGGAATGAAGTACTGACACATGCTACAACATGAGGGAACCTCAAAAGCATTATGCTAAGTGAAAAAAGCCAGACACAAAATACCACTTTTTATATGAAATATCTAGAATAGGTAAATTAAATCTGGGGAGACAGGAAGCAGATTGCCTGGTGCCAGCGGAAGGAGGAATGGAGACTGACTGCTAATGGGTATGGCGTGTTCTTTTGGGGTCGTGAAATGTTTTGGAACTAGATAGAGACAGTTGCACAACATTTTGAACGTGCTGAATACCACTGAACTGTACACTTCAAAATAGTTAATTTTATGTTATATGAACTTTACCTCAATTAAAAAAATCCATTTCTGTAGATCTTTTCCAGATTTTGCTTTTATGTATAATCAAATTACTTTGATTTCACTTTTTTTTTTGTGAGGAAGATCAGCCCTGAGCTAACAGCCACGTAATCCTCCTCTTTTTGCTGAGGAAGACTGGCTCTGAGCTAACATCTATTGCCAATCCTCCTCCTTTTTTTTCCCCAAAGCCCCGGTAGATAGTTGTATGTCATAGTTGCACATCCTTCTAGTTGCTGTATGTGGGACGCGGCCTCAGCCTGGCCGGAAAAGTGGTGTGTCGGTGCGTGCGCGGATCTGAACCCCAGGCCGCCAGTAGCGGAGTGCGCACACTTAACCGCTAAGCCACGGGGCTGGCCCCTGATTTCGCTTTTGACCCCCCCTATTTATTTGCTAGGATCTGATACTAGTTAAGAGACTAGTAACAGTGGAGGTAGAATCAGAAGAGGAGTAACTGGCTTTCTCCAGAGAGTCAAAGAGAAGGAAAAGCTACGTCTTCAAGCCCTGGGGAGTGGGGTGCTGTTCAATCATCTAATGTAACTCAAGCAAGCCTTTGGAGATCTCACCCCTCACCCAAGTGTTAAAGTATTCATACAACAAAAGTGGGCGTCTCCCTGAAGAGAGATTCTGGTGCTGTAAAAAATTAGATTTTCTCCATTTCATTTCACTAATAAAGATTTTTTCATATTAATTTTTTTCTAGTTATAAAATTCATATTCTTTGCCAAAAGTTTAGCAAATACGTGAAAACATAAAGAAAATTAAAGATCACCCAGAGTCTCACCACCCAGAGATAAACCAGAGAAACTATAACCATAGTTAACATTTTGGTGTAGAACATATCCCAAATTGAATTATTGATTCTTCTCTGCACCCAGTGGTATGCTGGTAAGCCGGCTCTCTGAAATAAACGTCCTGATTTGTAATACTTGCTGATTTCCGTGGTGTAAATACTTCCCCATCTCTAATTTCAAGCTACCAACGTGACACCAGCGAACGTGGAGTTGGGAAGACGTTCTCAATAGGCTCTCATAACTCCTCTGAACCTCACACTGTCCCTCAGGAAGGACCCTAGTCTTTTCCCATGCTTCCCATGTTAGCCACCCACCCAGAGCCACTGTTGATTCTCCCTCCTGCATCCCCACATCGCCATGTTCTGTCAGTTCTGCCTCCACAATATCTTGAATCCACTGACTTCTTTCTTACGCTGCTGCCGTCTGTAGTTCAGACCACTGTTCTCTACACTGCTGCAGGAACGTCCTTCTTGACGTTCTTTCCGCTCCTGCCCCATTCAGTTTATTTTCCCATAAGAACCAGTTAGATCTTAAAACATATACTGTATCATGCTATATTCCAATAAATGTCACCTCCAAGAGGCCTTTTTTACCACCATCCCTCTGAACCTGGTTGGTTTCCTTAATAGTGCTTAAAATCAGGTATTTGTTAACTTCTTGATTTTTGTCTCTCTCCTTGGAATGTAAGCTCCATGAAGCCAAGACCATGTTATCCTGGCACAATACTTAGCAGAGAGCATATTTGTTGAATGAATGCATGAATGAATGAATGAATGAACTCATTCAATCTGTACTTTCCAACTATTATATATTTCACAAAATTTGGGATCATACTCTACATAAATTTTTGTAACCTACTTTTAAAATTTATATTTCAGGGGCCGGCCCCATGGCATAGCGGCTAAGTTCGCATGCTCCACTGCTGGCGGCCCGGGTTCGGATCCTGGGTGTGCACCGATGCACCGCTTGTCAGGCCATGCTGTGGCAGGGTCCCACATAAAGTGGAGGAAGATCAGCACGGATGTTAGCCCAGGGCCGGTCTTCCTCAGCAAAAAGAGGAGGATTGGCGTGGATATTAGCTCAGGGCTGATCTTCTGCACACACACACAAAAAAATTAAATTTATATTTCACTATTATGTTTTACTTCATATCCTTACTTATTTTTTAAGAGTCTAACTTTTTTGTTTTATAATTTTATTTATTTATTTTTTTCCCCCAAAGCCCCAGTAGATAGTTGTATGTCATAGCTGCACATCCTTCTAGTTGCTGTATGTGGGACGTGGCCTCAGCGTGGCCAGAGAAGCAGTGTGTCGGTGCGCGCCCGAAATCCCAACCCGGGCCGCCAGCAGTGGAGCACGCGCACTTAACCGCTAAGCCATGGGGCCGGCCCGAGTCTGACTTTTTTAATGGCTGTGTAGTATTTTCAAGATATGTTGTGTTGTGATTCATTGAATCATTTTCCTGTTAACGGATATTTGGGCTGTTTTTTGTTTTCTGCTGCTAATAATGATTTTTTATTTTGCTTTCAATTATGTGATCTCAGGGTTTTTCTTCTAATTCTTACAGTAAAAGTCCAGTGAACATCTTGCAGATATTTAGAGTTGGCAAAGTGAATGAAACCGCAGAGTTTTTGAGTCGCCTCGGCCACGTGAAGCCCTTGTTGCATGGATCGCCTGCACGCAGCTTTGTAGGGATCCTGTCCCGGTGAGAATACACCATCTTTATTTTCCAAATTTTTCAGCCCCACAAATGTGAACTATTTTACCTTTTTTTCTGTTTTTTTCTATACCACGGGTCTCTTCAGTTAAAATCAGCCAGCTTATTGCATTCCAGAGAAAATGGAACACTTTAAATTATAATTAAATATATAATTTAAATTATGTATTTATTATTATATATTTTTTAAAGTGTAGTGCATGGATATGAATTGCTTCTTGAAGAAGGATGTCTCTATTTCACAGCTCTTCTAGGGATAGTCCAACACTTAAAGACAAAAGTCTAGAAATCAGAGTGCCTCTCTATTCAAAACAGTCTGCTTTGAATAACCACTTAATGTTAGGGCTGAAACTTAAGTTGCAGAGAGCAGGAAAATATGATGAAATCTGGATCCTTAATTAAATACCAAAGAAGAAACTTAAAAAGAAAGATATAAGATCCATCTGGAAAAAACTTTAAACTGCTATTAATATTTTTTCCCCCCAAAGCCCCAGTAGACAGTTGTATGTCATAGCTGCACATCCTTCTAGTTGCTCTATATGGGATGCCGCCTCAGCATGGCTTGACAAGTGGTGTGTAAGTCTGCACCCAGGATCTGAACCCACAAACCCTGGGCCTCCAAAGCAGAGCACGTGAACTTAACCACTATGCCACTGGGCCGGCCCAGCACATATTTTTTAAAAATTTGACATTACCAGGGTAATTCTGAAAAAGAAGAGTAATGAGGGAGAATTAACCAGTCAGACATTAAAAACATATTATAAAGCTATATTAATTAAAATAGTAGGTAGTGCATAAATAGATGAATGAACAGAATAAAGAGGCCACAAGTAAGCACAGTAACAAACAATTTATTTTTATTTTTTATTTTTTATTTTTTTTGTGAGGAAGATCAGCCCTGTGCTAACATCTGCCAATCCTCCTCTTTTTTTGCTGAGGAAGACTGGCCCTGGGCTAACATCCGTGCCTCATTTTCCTCCACTTTATATGGGACGCTGCCACAGCCTGGCCTGACAAGAGAAGCAAGCAATTTAGCATATGATAAAAGTAGCTTTTATCTCTGTGGACGAAAGATAATTTCTCAATACTGTATATTGGGATAAATAGATAACTACTGAGAAAAAATATAAAGTTGGACCCTTACCTGATTCCTCACACTTAAATAAGCTCTACATGGAGCAAAGATTTAAAAATTAAAAATAAACTGTAAAGGTACTAAATGAAAAGTGGGAGAATTTTTTAAAAATAATCTTTGAGTGGGAATTGCCTAAGTATGATTAAAACCCAAAAGCCATTTTATAGGAACAATTCCATCTCATTATAGAAAATTCAAACAGCGAAGTTTATATAATAAAAGGCAGAAGTCTCCCTTTACCCGCCTTCCCACAGATAACCGTGATTTAACTTTGATTGCGGAGTTCCTTGAATGCTAGAAGTTCAGTAAGAACCTGCATAAGTTCTTGAACAAGGAAGAGATGCCATCAGCACTAGCCTTAAACATTGTTCCGCTGAGCACTGGGGGGCCTCAGCCTGAAGGAGGCAGAGCCCAGAGGCAGGAAAAATGGCCAGCAGCCCAGAGCAGGCCAAGACAATGTTGAGAAACTGGCCACAGCTTGGTGCATTTGAATGGCACCTGGGACTTCTTTTGTGGGATTACTTTGAAATGCATTTTTCTTTTCATTTCATACTATTTATTTATTATCTTTTAATTGGTGCATTTATTTTTTTCCAGCTTTATTGAGGTATAATTGGCAAATAAAAATTGTATATTTTAGGTTGTACAACGTGATTTTTTTTAAGGTGTACAATGTGATGATTTAATATACGTAAGTTGGTTAAGACAAGCAAGTTAATTAACACATCCATCACCTCACATAGTTACCTTTCTTTTTCTTGTGGTGAGAACACAAGATCTACTCTCTTAGCAAATTTCAGGTATGCAATACAGTATTATTAACTATAATTACCATGCTGTACATTAAATCTCCAGAACTTATTCATCTTATAACTGAAAGTTTGTACCTTTTGACCAACATCTCCTCATATCCCCCAATCCCCAGCCCCTGGAAACCACTGCTCTACTTTCTGGTTCTATGAGTTTGACATTTTTAGATTCCGCATATAAGTGAGGTCATGCAATATTTGTCTTTCTGTGTCTGGCTTATTTCATTTAGCATAATGTCCTTAAATAGCACCTGTCTCTGCTAGAATTATGAGGCTATAATAAAAGATTCCTTTTTTTTAGTAAATCATTATAATGCCCTTTCTTTTTAGGGGGTTGCTTTTACCCAAAGTAGTTGAAGACCGTGGCATGAAAAGAACAGACATTGGAAATCTTGGGAGTGGAATATATTTCAGCGATGCACTCAGGTTAGTACATTATATCCTTACTCATGTTACTAACACCCATCACCAAGGAATCATTACCGAGTACTTGCTATGTGTTTCCCTCTGTCTTTCCTTGATGAGAGATTTCTCACCCAAAAAACAGATCATTGCAAGCAACCAGGTTTCTCAGTATACTGTAGAAGCATGTCTTTTGTGGTGAATATTTAGGAAAATTGTATTTGAAATGGTGTTAGTGACTTTATTATCCTAAGAGCTTTTACATATACTTACCCACTTAATTGTTACAACAATCCTCAGATCAGTTCTATCGTTATCCTATATCACAGATGAGAACACTGAGGGACAGTGAGGGTATATTGCCTAAGATCACACAGTATTTTATCTTTCTTCAGGGCCAACAATCTTAACTTCTATAGCACATGTTCTCTCTTCTAAACAATTTATCTATTATATATGAACTCTAAATGCCTGGAATAATATTTCATCTTCAGTATCCTTGTTAATATTTAAATCCATCCTCATAATAGCCATAATGTGTTGAATGCCTGCCCTGTGCTATTCCCCAGGCTAAGTGCTTCATGTACATTGTCTGTAAACCTCACAACTGGTATTGTGACATCACTTTATGAAAAGGAAACAGACTCATGGAGGTTAAGTAACTACATAAGGTCACAGAGCTACTTAAATGATGGAGCCTGGGTTCAGGCCCAGGACAAGGGATAATTATCCAGGATATTTAAAGAGATCCTACAAATGGGTAAGAAAAAGATAAACCAATAAGAAAATGGGCAAAAGACATGAATAGGAACCTAGTAGAGTAGGAAACATGTATGGACAATAACATTGGAAAAGATTAGCAATGAAGAACATGCAAATTAAACCATTATGATACCATTTTATACTATCATATAGGGCCGGCCCCGGGGCTTAGAGGTTAAGTGCGTGCGCTCCGGTGCTGGTGGCCCGGGTTCGGATCCCGGGCGCGCACCGATGCACCGCTTCTCCGGCCATGCTGAGGCCGCGTCCCACATACAGCAACTAGAAGGATGTGCAGCTATGACATACAACTATCTACTGGGCTTTGGGGGAAAAAAATAAATAAATAAAATTATTATACTATCATATTGACAAAAAAAAAATTTAACATCTCTCGGTGTGGGTAAGTCTCTAGAACAATCTGAACTCTCAAACACTGTTGATAAGACTATAAATTGATAAACCCTCTTGAAAAAGTTTTGGCATTATCTGGTATAGTCGAAGAGCATAGTTGATAGTATAACTCATAAATCCTACAGATAGGCCCATGAACCAGCAAGCAGCGGTTCTCAATCCTGGCTGCACATTGGAATCACTTGGGGGAACTTTTAAACACTACTGGTGCTGATTTCATGTGTTAAAAAACAAAATTCAACTGAGTAAATTTGAAGGTCTAATTGGCTTTATTAAATGATTCATGGCAGTGTCTCATCTGGCAAGCAGAGAGATATGCTGGGGGTTACACAACATGGAAGGCTTTTATATTAACAAGGGTGGGACAAAGAAAGGAAGGCATCAGCAAGTTCACTGGAGGAAAGTAAAAGTTCAGGTGACAACAGCTTCTCATTGGCTGAGCTGTGGCATTTTCCATTGGCTGGACTTGTTGCTGGGCAGGAAAGAAGTCTTCCTTCCTCCTGCTGGAGCAGTGAAGTAGTTGCACTTCCCGTTTGGGAGTGCAAAGTATGTCTCTTCCTGCTGAGGTCAGTAACTGACGCTTCTTCTTGTTGGAGTCTGTAATTGATGAAGACTGGTAGGGCATGAGGGCGCACTCTACAGGCCTTCTCGACTTCAATGTTAGTTGAGGTTTTCTTTATTAATTTTAGCAGACCCCAGACCAGTTAAATCAGGATCTCTAGGGGTGATATTTGGTTATCAATAGATTTTAAGTTCCCTGGATGATTATAATATGCAGCCTGGATCAAGAATCACTACCCTAGTAAAACTGTGGTGTACATAGACCAGGAGACATATATAGGAATGGCTGAGAACACTGTGGTAAAAGAACACTGGAAATGATGCAGATTTCCACTGACAGTGGAATGGATTGATAAATTTTGGAGGAGTCCTACAGGGAGTCCTATTTTAGACAGTTTAAACAAGTGCAGTACAGCTCCACATGTCAAACAGATGAGCCTTCGAAACATAACGTGGAGCAAACATTGCTGTATGATTCTCTACATATGCAAAGTTCAAAAACAAGCAAAACTAAACGTTATATTGTTGAGGGACAGATACCTATGTGTCAATACTATAAAATAAAGAAAAAATAATATATACAAAAATCAAGATAGTAATTAGATTACGTCTGAGTGGCAGGGAAGGTGATGCCATGGGGGCAATAGGAATATAGATGTTGTTCTGTTTCTTAAACTATGTGGTATCTATATGGTTGTTTGTCTTATTATTATTCTTGACACTTAACATTTATAGTATAAATGCTCCTTCCTATGTACAAAATATTTCAAAGTAAAATTTTTTAGATGTTAAAATATTTTTTAGAAATAAATAGGAATTCAGTTGAATTTAACCAAATTAAAATGCTTAGTGACTTTTGACAGAGTGATTTCAGTGAAGAAGTATGGAAAGAGCCAAATTGCAGTGCATTGAGGAGTGGTCAGCAGACAAGCAAGTGGAGACAGTCACTGAACTCTGTGGAGAATGTGGTGAGAAAGGAGGAGATGGAGAGGAAGAAAGCTGGAGGGCAGAGTCAAGGGTCACATGTTAGTAAGTTACAGGGAATGAGGTTTATAGCAGGAATGGGAAAAATTCATTTTTGAAAACAGAAGTGCGAGTCTTGGAGGGGCTAGAACAAAGGGTCATCAGGCAACGCTTTTCCATTTTGGTCTTGATCTTTGGAAAAATAGAAGTATGTCCAAAAAGTGTTGCTCCCAAAGGTGTGCTAGCCTGTGCTCCTAGTAGCAAAAGTTGCTTTATTAAAGCTGCTGATTCCTGAAGAAAGTTAAAACAAAATTTCTCATTTAGGTGTCATTTGAAATTTTTGTTTTTCCGTTTGGATTCTGAAGGCTGTGTGGGAATACAGTACCTTCTTCCCTTTGACCAGTTCTTACTTACTTGGTATTTAATGTCCTTTCTGAACTTTATGGCAGATAATTAATCTACTTTTTCTTAATTAATTTGGTGGGGTTTTTTCCTGCTTTTTCACCACTCTGGTGTTTACTGTACCAAAATGTATATTTTAGTAGCTAATAAAGATTTGGGGAAACAGTGGAATTCACCTCTCTCAGAGAACAAAGTACTTTGAGCACTGCCTAGCGCAACAGAAGGGCAATATACGTGTTGTTACATTAAGATTTTAAATAAGTAAGTGAATAATAAAGTTCTAAATTGAATCTTCAGAGATATTTCAATAACAGTAAAATTTGGAACATTCTACCAGCAGTCTTTTAAACAATATATCCTATACATATAATAAAGTATTTTTGCCATGTAACTGTAAATTGTAAATGTGTGCTTATTTCCTTTCACATGCAGTACAAGTATTAAGTACTCACACCCGGGAGAGACAGATGGCACTAGACTCTTGGTCATCTGTGATGTCGCCCTTGGGAAGTGTGTGGACTTACACAAGAAAGACTTCTCTTTAATGGAAGCACCGCCAGGTTATGACAGTGTCCATGGGGTTCCAGGAACAGCCACTATCCCCACGGACTTCGAGGTATTTATATCAAGAAACAGGCAGAGAGGCTCCTGCTTTTATTAAATGTGCTTAAGTTTAAATAATTATTGAATCCACTGTCTGAATTCAATATTTTCTAAATTAGCAAACATGAAATTCTGCTTTTATGAAAACATTTGCCAATAGAGGATTTTTTTTGCTACCTATTAATTTCTGTTGGCTCTAGGATGATGAATTTGTTGTGTATAAAACCAATCAGGTTAAAATGAAGTATATTATTAAATTTTGCATACCTGGAGATGAAATAAAGGACTTTCATCCTTGTGACAGTACTGAATTAGAGGAACACAGACCTGAGTTTTCAAATTTCTCAAAGGTTGAAGGTAAGACAATTTTCTTGAATGCTGTTTTATGTGATATTTATAGAACTCAAACGTTATATTTTCAGTGCAGTTTATATTCATGTTTGGTAACTATATCTATGACCTCATACATAAATATTTTACTTCCTTTTTTATTTTGTAAAAATAAAAACTGGATGCTTAAGAGAGGTTAAATGATCTCAAAATTACACGTTACTTCATTAACACGCTAAAGTTGAGCTTGTTCATCAACATGAAAACCCACGGAACCAGTTTAAGATGTCAGAGTGCAAAAGGTATGATGGGGGTGGGTGGAAGAGACAGAAGCCACAGCTTTAGAATCAGGAACCTTGGGTTCAAGTGTCAACTTGCCACTTACTAGGCTGTGCAATATTAGACAAATTGCATAACCTTTATGGGCTTCAATTTCTTTCTGATACGTATGAGATCACTATCTGCATTAGATGAAGGTACTCCAAAAACTGTAATGTGCAGCTTCTATATTAGTAGTACAAATATATGAGAGGATGATAGCTTCTCAGAGAATCACAAGCCCAAACTATTATAATATTAATTAATAGCATTGTAAAAACGCATTAACATTTTTAACTGTCATCAAATTATTTTTTATCAGAAACGTATGATTTCATATATGAGAAGATGACTCCCGTTTTTTCTCTGGGAGTCATTAAATGAGATGTCCGGCAAAAGAATATATATTTATATATCTAACCATATCAATATTTTTGTACCACGTAGTACGTTTAGCACGTGAGTGTTTTTATATGCTGTATTAAGAGTTTGATTTAGTCTTCCTTGCACTGAAAGTCTAAGCAATCTCATATTGCTCCAACATGCTTTTGTGGCACAATAAATAACAGTGACTAACCAATTCAAAATTACAAGTCAGGGAATGCAGATATCTATTTTTGTTTTGTTTTGTTTTTTTATAATTTTATTTATTTATTTATTTATTTTTTCCCCCCAAGCCCCAGTAGATAGTTGTATGTCATAGCTGCACATCCTTCTAGTTGCTGTATGGGGGACGCGGATTCAGCATGGCTGGAGAAGCGGTGCGTCGATGCGCGCCCGGGATGTGAACCCTGGCCGCCAGCAGCGGAGCGCATGCACTTAACCGCTAAGCCACGGGCTGGCCCGGAATGCAGATATCTAGATTCATGCTTAAGCCACACTTATTTAGATATTCTTAAGACCTCTGTGTACTTGTGTGTACGTTTAAATCTATATCTTTCAAGTAATAGCGTGACTCTAAATTTTCAAGATGACTCCTCAAAGTGTCTGGATTAAAAAGGCAGAAGTGTATCTGTTGAGAATGCTGCCCCCATTTTTCTATGTGGGTTCACTTACTTCTCAGAATTGCCTATTGAAAAATCATAAAATGGGGGCCGGCCCCGTGGCTTGGTGGTTAAGTGCGCGCGCTCCGATGCTGGTGGCCCGGGTTCGGATCCCGGGCGCGCACCGAGGCACCACTTCTCCGTCCATCCTGAGGCCGAGTCCCACATACAACAACTAGAAGGATGTGCAGCTATGACATACAACTATCTACTGGGGCTTTGGGGGGAAAAATAAATAAATAAAATCTAAAAAAAAAAAAAAAAATGATCCTTTCAAAAAAATAAAAAAAATCATAAAATGCTATTTGTCCATTTTTCCTAAATATAGTGTATGAAGGGAAGGGGAAGGAATAAAGATCAAGGTAACAAAAATAGAGAGTGCAGGGATGGTTTTGAAAGCTAACATTATCATTTTTAATACGTAGATTACCAGTTACCAGACACCAAACCTTTCAGCAACATCAAGTCTGGCCTTCAGGATACCTCTGGGAATTCAGTTCCTCTTGAGGATGTTCACATCAAGGGGAAAATTATAGACTTTGTAGCCCAGGTATGCTCTTTGTGGTTTTTCGATACTTACACTAAATGGACGTAGATCATAAATGAGAATGTGATTATAGTTACATGAACTAAACAAAACGTGCATTTCTAAAATTCTACGTAACAGGGACTGTTCTAGGCTCTAGGCATTGAACAAGCAACAAACAATACAAAAACTCTGCCATCATGGAGAATACATTTTATTGGGGGACTAGGCAATAAACGTGATGAATAAATAAGATACAGTCATGTGTTGCTTAATGACAGGCACACATTCTAAGAAATGTGTCATTAGGTGACTTTGTCATTGTGCAAACATCACAGAGTATACTTACGTAAACCTGGATGGTATAGTCTACTACACACCTAGACTATGTGGTGCTAATCTTAGAGGACCACCATCATATGTGCAGTCTGTCGTTGACTGAAACATTGTTATATGGCACATGACTGTACATAATATGTTAGATGGTGATAGGTGCTAAAGAAGAAAATCAAAGCAAGGAGGAATAGGAACTGCACAAGAGGGAGGGGTTTGAACTTGTAAATAGAGTGGCCAAGGAAGGCTGCACTGAGAAGGTGACATCTGAGTACAGATGTGTAGGAAGTAGGAGACTAAACCATGTGGACGTCTGGGGAACACTCATTCCAGGCAGAGGAAACTGCATGTTCAAAGGCCCTGAGGTGGGAGCAAGCCTGATGTGATCAACAGACATCAAGGAAGCCACTGTGGTGGAGGAGACTGGAAAGGGGAAGCATGGTAGGAGATTGAGTCAGAGAGGTGGGGGGGGGGGTCAGCTCACATCAGGATACAAGACATACTGTCCTTAACTCTGAGTGAAATGGAAACCTTGAGAAGAGGTTTGGCAGAGGAGTGATGTGATCAGACCTATATTTTCACAGAGTCACACCAGCCAACATGTTGAGGACAGTCTGAAGTTAGGAGACATCTTAGGTCAAGTCATCTGTAAAACAGACTCTAGATGAAAATTTGTTTTCAGGAAGATTGTTGAGAAGTGCCCTCGGAAGCAACACCTGTAAGAAAGCGAGGGAGACAGGACCTGGCAGAAGGAGACATTGAACATGACACAGGCGTACCAGAGTCCTCAGCCGATCTCTGAAGCCGGGGTAGCCCTTCAGAGATGAGGAGAGGGGGCTGGGCTTTGTGCTCCCACAGGGACCAGTCATTGGATGTGGCTGCCGCTGGGGAGGGGTCAGAAGCTTGAGTGAGACGGTTCACCTTTGGCCGAAAACAGGTCTGGGGAGGAACTCAGCACATGACACTCCCAGAAGCCTTGGTCCTGAAAGGGACATCTGGGAGCATACCACAGCATCAAAAGTACATAACTATTGAAGTAATTCAGTCAAGGATGTTGGTGACTTGGACCAAAATGTTAGCAGTGGGGGTGGTAAGAAGTCATTGGGTCTGGCAAAGGTTTGAAGGTAGACCCAATAAGGTTCGCTGATGGATATGGAAGATGAGAGAAAGTCAGGAGTCAAGGATGACGCCAAGGTTTTTGGCCTGAGTAGCTAGAAGGATCAAACGTGTTTGCACTTACTGAAATGGGAAAGGCAGTAGGAGGGTAGAGTGGGGGAACTATCAGGAGGTCATCTTTGGCCATATAATGTAAGATGCTGATGGCCAGATGGAAGAGCCAAATAGGCAGCTAGACATTTGAGTCTAGAGTTCAGCGAAGAGTTAACTCCAGCTGGGAGTTATAAATTGGGGAGTCACTAGTATTTAGATACTACTTAAAACCATGAGACCACATCAGGTCACCAAGAGAATCAGTTAGAGAGAGAAGAGAAGACCAACATTTAGAGGACAGGGGGATGAGGCTGAATCAACAAAGGAGACTGAGAGGGAACAGCCAGTGAGATACACACACAAGGGAAACCGGCTTCTCTGGAAGTTGAATGAGGAGGAAAGAATGGTCAACTCTGTCAAAGCCTGCTGATAGATCAAGTAAGATAAAGACTGAGACTTGACCATTGGATTTAGCAATGAAGAGATCATTGGTGACCTTGACAATCACCTTTTTGATGGAGTGGTGAGGGTAAAAGCCTAATCAGAGTCAGTTCAAGAGAGAATGGAAGGAAAGAATTTGGAAACAGAGGAGAGAAAATGGGACAGTAGCTGAAGAGAAGTGGGGTCAGAGTGTTTTCTTTTACGATGTAGGAAATCATAACATGTATGTGAGCCAGTGCAAGAGAAAAACTCTGATGATCCAATAGAGAGAGTACAATATGTGTGTGTTTTCACACCACTAAGCAGTTGACTCAATTCTGACACTATCTACCTGGAGATACCATCAAATCCCACAGGTTAAGGGCTCAGTCCCACAAGACTGCTCTCCTCCCTACCACTTCAGATGCCAATTGCAGGTCCCAGGTTGTTACCTATGCTTTTGGTTGACTGGCTATAGATCAGAGGTTCCAGCAACCCCCTCCTTGGGTTAGATTAATAATCTAGAGTGACTCACAGAACTCAGAGAAACATTTTACTTATTAGATCACTGGTTTATTATAAAAGAATATAACTCAGGAACAGCCAGATGGAAAAGATGCACAGGGCAATGTATGTGGGAAAGGGTGCGGAGCTTCCATGCTATCTGGGCATACCACTGTCCCCCATATGTCCATGTGTTCACCAACCTGGAAGCTCTCTGAAACCTGTCCTTTAGGGTTTTTATGGAGGCTACATTACATTGGCATGGTTGATTAATCATTGGTCATTGGTGATTGAACTTAATATCCAGCCCCTCTCCCCTCCCCTGAAGTTGGAGAGTGGGGCTGAAAATTCTAACCCTCTAATCACCTGGTTGATTCTCCTGGCAACAGCCCGCATCCTTAGGTGTTTTCCAAAAATCACCTCATTAACATAAACTCAGGTGTCGTGCAAAGGGGTTTGTTATGAATATCAAAAGACACCTACATTGTTTTTATCACTTAGGAAATTGCAAAGGGTTTTAGGAGCTCTTGTACCAAAAATGGGTTCTAAGACCAAATATATGTTTCCTATTATAAATCACAATATCACAGGGGGGATTTGCTAGAGATGCATCCTTTTGTAGGCAGGAGAATGTGAGGGCTAATCTTCAGGTGCAGTTCTTGGCCCCAACCAGAAGCTTGTTCATCCATGGTCACAAGACAGAAGGTAGAGGTCATGGGCACACATGCAGGTAGGTGGCCAGATGTGGTGAAGCTTGTAAAGTTCTCAATATTCTAAAACTGAATTTGTTTTCTAAGATTTGATCTCATCGTTGGCTTCTAACACTAAAGATTGCATTGAACAACTGTAAAGACCTCTTAGGAAAATAAGAACATCCGAGTCCAGTGTTGTAATATTCCTATCCCTTCAGTGGGAAATCAGGTTAATTGTAGTGATCACCTTAAACTGGGAAAATGGGGCATGGTGGGGTGGAAAAGAGCATGCTGCCTGTAGACTCAAATGACGGGTGACCATTCTATAGATATGAGAGATAAGGTGGATTTTATTTGAGCCAAGCTGAGGATTATAGCCTGGGAGAGGAGCCTTCACAAAGGAAGAAAGCACTCCAGAGAAGCCTGGTTTTCAGTACAGTTTTATACCTTTTTAGAACAAAGAACACACATCAAACATGCTCAGGGTACATATTCATCAAAGTTTCAAAGAGGTATTCACTTGCAGATTAGCAGGTTAACATGACCCTGATCATGTCCAGGAAAGGAAACCTATCTTCAGGAGTACTGATACTGGCACCAATACTGGCATTGTAGGAAAGAAAGTATGCATCCTTGTCTTCAAAGTGTGCATTCTTTGACTTTGAGACAATGTTTAGTACATTCTTTAATGGCTGGAGCAGATGAACAATGTATATTTGATAGGCCATAAATCAGGCTTCTTTAGTTCAAGTTGAATCAGGTTTAATCCAGAATAGCTATCACATATACCTCAATATGTGAAAATTTCTTATCAGTTTCTCCTTTTGATCAATAATCTTTCAGTAGAAAGCATTGATGATCAAAATATTGTCTCTTGGTGCCAGGGTGGTTGCTGCCTGCCCTGGGTCCATCATGTCCCTCGGTGGTAGGCTTTTATTTCATTAATTTGTCCAGTTATCCATGTTGTGGGGGGAATAGGTGGATATAGTGGATAAGCATAGAGGTATATATTGACAGGGGTAGCATTTTATAGGTCATATAATTTGTCAATTATTTTTAGATTGTTGCACAAACATTGCACATGTGCTTTTATGTAACTTCTTATGATTACATTGTTTATAACAATTATAGAACAGATATAGTAACAATGGTAATAAATTTCTTCTCATCCTAGTTTGGAGGTATTTGTCTGGGTCAGTCAAAGTCAGGTGTTAGAAACAGGAGTTGAAATCCACTCAGGTGGAGGGGCCTTTTTTAAATGAGAAGTGTGGATCCATGAGTCTATGCCCTTTAATTTTGTAGCCCATGGATTGGTTACAAGTACCTGATATGGTCCTTTCCAATGGGGCTGCAAAGAGTCTTTTATTTGATGCCTTTTCCAATAAACAAAATCTCCAGGTTGTAGGCCATGATCCTTAAGGTCTTCATCTCATGGGAGCTTGCTGTGAAAGGAATCAGCTACCAACCTTTCGTTTCTTTTAAGTGCCTCAAAAAGACCCTGACAATAATGTAATATATCTCCTTTGAGCAAAGTTGATTCATACGTTCCCTCATCTAATTGCATAGGGCATCATGTTATTATTTCAAGAAGAGACAGCTGATGTTTACCAAAAGGTGTACATCTAAGATTGAGCAGCACTAGCAGAAGAGCTTTTGGCAATGAGAGATTAAATGCCTCTGAAAGTTTTGCCAATTGAGTTTTTTTTTTTTTTTTAAAGATTTTATTTATTTATTTTTCCCCCAAAGCCCCAGTACATAGTTGTCTGTCATAGCTGCACATCCTTCTAGTTGCTGTATGTGGGATGCGGCCTCAGCATGGCTGGAGGAGTGGTGCCTCGGTGCGCACCCGGCATCCGAACCCGGGCC